CCCAAATGTCGTCATTCAGCCTACTGGGTGTCTAAATGCTGCTTCTTTAGTTTAGCGCTGGAGCTATGAAGCTAACATTGCAAACAAACACTAGAAGTCAATAGTCACCGAAATCTTTTTCTCTAAATACATCCAGAAAACTTCTCTCAGCTCACTCAAACTGTATTCAGGTCTTTATTAAGATTGCATAGACATGTCAATGTAACTTAGGGCACAGTATGATTTACAAAAAAAACTACAAAAATAAACAAACCTTCGCCATGTAGCTGAAACACTGTGGCAGCCATTTTAGACAGGTATTGAGCAGAAGTAGGACACCCCCACAGAATCCATCTCCTCTTCAAGTGCAAACACTCATCATGCAGACATATGGATGCTAGATTACAATAGCATTTTCTGTTGTTTATGAAAATAAAAGTCAGTTTGTAAGATCAAGTTTGACAGTTATTAATAAAAAGAACAAGAAGTTGCTAAAGTGATTGCCTAGTAATCTAGTCTTGTGCTGGTTTAGCTGGTCACCCCAGCATGGTCGTGTCAGTTGTCCAGCATACCAGCATCCAAAACACAACATATGCTGTTTTTTCTAGCAGGGAGAGTGGGAGTTGGACTTCAGCACAGCACCCCTAAAATTGCTTCCAGACGTTTTTAGCTACATTGTGAAGTTTTGTTCATTTTTATAGTTCGCAGTAAGTTGTACTGTATCCTAAAGCACATCAACAAGTCTGTGCGACCTTCATGAAGACCTGCATGCAGTCTGAGAGAAGTTTTGGGGAAAGTTTGTTGGCTTTTTGTTGAATTCTAGTGTTTGTTAGCAGCGTTGGCCTCATAGCTTCAGTGCTACATTGAAGGAGCAGAGTTTGGACACCAAACTCGAGTGATCACCTACATCTGGAGTAAGTGGAAAACTGGTAAATTTGATTTTTTGCCAAACCATTAATTTAATAATGCTAAAATAAATAAATATTGCATGTCGTTTATGTTTATTTGCTAAAGTTTTTGGTACTGTGCAGTTTTCTGATTGCTAAGTTGCTGTTGATTGTAGTGTTGTAGTCTGAGTCCAGTCTCTGCTGTATTATTTCGGTTATGCTTGTACTGAAAAATTAATATAACTAGCTAATATGTTGCCAGAACAACCAATGAGCTCTACATAAATATAATGTTTTATTTTTCACAAACAATGTTTGAGATACTTAAAATGACTTTTGGTTAAATATTTGTACTGTAATGAATTTTTGCATATAAAAAAAAAAACAACTGCAGTACCACCACAGCCCACTGGGGGCCTGCAGCCCCCTGGTGGAAAACTAGTTGTATAGGCGTAAATAAACTCAGTTGGTTGAGAACTTAATTGATAAAAAAGCTGATGATTTTGAATACGTTTTAGGAAAGGAACAGAGAGTAACCTTACCATTGATTCCAGTTGCAATGCAGTCTGACTTTAACTATAATGTAATAATAATTATGTTTTAGGTTATATATTATTTATTAACAATATGTAATACATGATGTATATTCTAAAAAAAATCTTGATCTGGTCTTGGTCTTGACTCGGACTCGGATCTAGCCTTCTCGACTACAACACTAATTGACTGACTTGTGTCTGATGCGCCATGTAATACTGTACTGTCATACGTTCAGTGTTTAAGCAAATGGAACTGAACTGAATCCTCATTGTTTGGCGATTCTCTTTTCCTCGTGTGTGCCTAGTGACGCTGTGCTTCGCGAGTGTATTCAGCTTAAATCTTTGGTTAGCATGCTTGAGCCTTTTTCACTTCTGGCTTATTTAGATGCAGTTTTTTCAACAAAGGAACATTGCAACTAGTAAAATAAGTCAGTTAACACCTTTTTCAGGAGTCTGGAGTGGTCCTGCATCGTGGCCGGTGAATCAAGCTTCATTTCCACCACTACTTGTGTACCAAAGCTGAATGCTAGTTCTTCTATTTCAGAAGAGCAACACAGAAAACATCACAAACTTTTGTCATTATCATTCAGGTGTACTTATTATGGCTTTTTGAGCTGCTCCTGTAGTTTGTAGTCATCATCCATTCATTTATATGCACTTCAATTGCTCTTACAAAGTCAAACCTGCATTCTTAAAACATTTCTAGATGCAAAGCACCTCATGGGCCTGGCTTGTAGGGCTGAGAGTCGATCCCAAAAACAGTCGATTCCAGGCATTTAGAAATCAATAGTCAACTTGATTCCACATAGAGATGTTCAGGTTTGCCCACACCTGCGCAGACATGGTGTGAGATATTCTGCTGTCAGTGTCTGGAGAGCCTGTCTGAAAAATACACCCCTCCACAGCAGACACATCAATAGATCGGCTGTATTTTACATTGGACAAAGTGGAAATCAAAGCAAAATGGAACGTTTGTAACAAAACAGTGGATCAGAAATCGGGCTGAACAATTGTTTCTATATAGAATTAGCAGTTTTTAAGGGTATCATTTTTTAATCGCAAGAGCTGTAATTTTAATTACATCTTAAGTTATTTAAGGTTGTCGTAGCAAATTTAAGGTGCAGAAATGTAGTGTAATAATGCACAGCTTGCGAACTGGCAGTCTGGCACACTACATTCAGCTTTCAAGCCTCAAGTCTGAAAAAACTGATAGGCTTTTCTTCTCGACAAAAAAAGGCTTTGAGCTTAACTTTGGTAGGATTTTGTTCACGAAACTCACAATTAGATATTTGTCCCAAATCTTTCAGCCCTGTACTGACAGTACTGACAGTAGGTGACAGAGGACAGTCAGGAAGCAATACAGTTTATTTATCCCCTGTCAGTAACCTAAGTTCATTTAGCTAGAGTCGGCTCCTCAAATAGCCTTACCAAGATCTGATGGGTCTTATAAACAAATGAACATCTTGTGTCCCTGAGGAACATCTGTGGTGACAGCACAGAAAGTTTGTATGTCAAGATCCCTCATCATTCATGACATAAATAGTAATGAAATACTATTAACTTAATTAACGTTTTACTTTTTATTTTGCTGGATTTCCTTCCCAATGTCTTAATTTTTGGAATCAAGAATCAAACAAATGATGACGTGGAATCGACTCTTGGTAATCGACCCCATCAATTTCCATTACATCAAAAGTGGAATTGGAGTCAACTCCAGAATGTTTGGAACGAAACTGCCCTACTGACGTGTAACTCACTCACTCACTCATGTTGAGCAGGCTGAAGCTTCTCCTCAAGAGGTGCTATCAGAACTAAAGTAAGTTTTTGGTACTTCATCAAAGCGGTGCTTTGCATCAGTCACACTGCATCCTGGTTAAATATACATGTTCCAAATCTTTCAAGGCTTTAGACTACTGCAAAACCAACTGCAGCATCCAGGAATCCAGATTTCATGAACCATTTGGTAGAACTGCTGCTAAGACCTGTATCTCATATAACCCACATTCTCTACCAGATACAGTTTTTGATTATGCTGGGTCACTATTTAGACAGCTTCTCTACTGGTTTGAACTGAATGTACCAATAAGCAAGTAGCCAAAATTTAGCACATAGAAAATGCATGTATACCAGTATAGCTAAGTGATGACTCCACAAGCTGTCTTACAGTAGTTTCATTTTCTCACTCATACTTTAAACTAGCTAACTAGGTTCAGTAGGAGCTCACAGCTCCATAGAATTGTTCCATGCAGTGATCTTATATTGACAATATAAGACAATAACGTGGAATATTTAGCACAATATGAAGCCGATGAAGAATCCCTTTAAAATGACAATTGCACATTACCCACAGCATGTCTGGTGTGCTGTAAATGTTCAGATATAAACTATGTCATATTTAGTGCATAGTGTTTTACCATTAGAACTCTTTTGAAACCAGTTATTTATCCTATTGACTTTTTTTGACCATAGATTACTGTACAGGCATGTGTAGAAATAGCAGTGTATGTGCCCTAATGTTACTTCAGACTTATCAAAATCAAAGTGATATGGTATATATATATATCGCTGTTGTCAGAAGAAAACCTTGTATCCCCCAAAAATGGTAATTTTACAGAAGAAGGAAAAAACCTAATTTACTTTTAAAGTCAATGGAACCAGAATTTTTTCCAGGTCAATTTTGGCCGTTTCTTTTGGTCCAATGAAATTTACACACAGGCAACAGGCATTTTCAAATTATGTCAAAAACTGAAAAATGACAAAAATGAAGTTTTATGGTTTTCTTCAGACAGCAGCACAATATATATATATATACATATACATATATATGTGGAGTAGCCCGTGTGTGTGTGTGTGTGTGTGTATATACACACACACACACACACACACACACACACACACCGATCAGACATAACATTATGACCACCTCCTTGTTTCTATGCTCACAGAGCAGTTACTATCATTCTCAGCACTGCAGTAACACTGACGTGGTGGTGGTGTGTTAATGTGTGTTTCACTGGTACGAGTGGATCAGACACAGCAGTGCTGCTGGAGTTTTTATACACTGTGTCCACTCACTGTCCACTCTATTAGACACTCCTACCTTGTCAGTCCACCTTGTAGATGTGAAGTCAGAGACGATAGCTCATCTGCTGCTGCACAGTTTGTGTTGGTCATCCTCAAGTCCTTCATCAGTGATCACAGGACGCTGCCCACAGGACGCTGTTGGCTGGATATTTTTGGTTGGTGGACTATTCTCAGTCCAGCAGTGACAGTGAGGTGTTTAAAAACTCCAGCAGCACTGCTGTATCTGATCCACTCAGACCAGCGCAACACAGACTAACACACCACCACCACGTCAGTGTTACTGCAGTGCTGAGAATGATCCACCACCCGAATAGTGCCTGCTCTGTGAGGGTCCATGGGGGTCCTGACCACTGAAGAACAGGGTAAAAGGGGGCTAACAAAGTATGCAGAGAAACAGATGGACTACAGTCTGTAACTGTAGAACTACAAAGTGCACCTATATAGTAAGTGGAGCTGATAAAGTGGACAATGAGTGTAGAAACAAGGAGGTCATAAAGTTATGCCTGATCAATGTGTGTGTATATATATAGTGCCTTGAGTCACTACACTGTGGAATGTTATTTATAGGCAGTAACTGTACAAAATATAAAAATACAGGATCTGTCTGCACATACAGGGATAACAATTACTCTGTAAGGTGGCTATGGAAAGTCAACAGCGACAGTGCAGGCTAATTCAGCTATGTCACCCATTGATTTCTGAGGGTTAAGAGGGCACTAACACAGGGGCAAAATGTCCACTGTAGAATCTGAGTCACCTGAGCAGACATGCTCACATCTCAATTTGTGTTTCATTCGCTGGTCTCGCTTTAATGGAGGCAGAGATGGAATAAAACCTGTGAAAAGCAAAAGCACTGGTGTTATTACACAGAGCAATTTAAAAGCCTACATAAGCCTTGAATATAGATTTGCGTCTCATATGTTAAAACCCCACTCTGAATTCTGCAGCCGTTTTGCTTATATTAGGCTTATGGTACATGTAAACATTTATCTAGGTTCCTTTAGGAGCCCTTTAGAGTAGCTTTCATACACATCGGCCCTTTTTCATCAAACGAGCGCCGTTTCACCCCAAACCACCAGTCCCTTATTTACATATCATGTGCAGACGACGTCCAATTTAACCTCATATCAACATAACTTACATGAAATATGGCCTAATTCATGCAGCTGTTGCAGTAGTGAATTAATAAAAGGAGAGCATTAAGGAGACTCATGGGCCACTGACTGTCCTCCATGAAAAATTTCGCCCAGTCATGTTCGAGCACAGTACTGAGCTCTTTCAGTGACAAATAGGTCTTGACTGTGAGTCTGACCCTCAGCTGAGGGACTAATGAGGTAATAAAAGATCCAAATCTGCAAACTGTCATTGACATAAATTACATGTTAACAATACAGTGGGGTCCAAAAGTCTGAGCCCACTACTGAAAATGCTTCTATTTTGCATTCTTGTCTAATTTAATACAAACATTTTTACTGCAAATTAGATTATCAGACTTACAATTTGAGTGAAATGTAGAATCTTTGATTCGTAAATATTTACATGAATTTCAAAATTTCCATGAAAAGCCTCTGATGAGCAGATCAAATCCCCCTGAGACTCGTCTGAACATGAGCTTCAGGGACCTTTTTGTAAAAAGGCCTGAATATTGTAAATGTTTTCTATTACAAGTTTACTTACATTTAAAATGCAGAAGCTACATTTTTTTTTTAATTTTATAAAACTTTGTTATTTATTTCCAGGTTTAAATGGAAAGGTCCCAGATTTTCAATATAGTCTCAGACTTTTAGACCCCACTGTATATGTGTGTGTGTGTATATATATATATATATATATATATATATATATATATATATATATATATATATATATTTTGTTGCTGTCAGAACAAAACCTCCATTTTTGTCATTGTTTGTTTTTTGACATAATTTGAGAATACCTGCTGCCCTATACATTGTGTGTAAATTAAAGATGAATGAACCAAAAGAAACGACCCAAAATTACTTGGAAAAAATTCCGGTTCCACTGACTTACATTAAAAGTAAAGTACGTTTTTGGCTTTTCCTGTAAAGTCATCATTTTGGAGATACAAGGTTTTGTTCTGACAGCAGCGGTATACATATATATGTGTATGTATGTATTTATTTATATATATATATATATATATATATATATATATATATAGTTATCCTAAGCATAGTACTTTTCAATTTTGCTGTTATTGCTGATACTATTAATAATAACAATGTTAATTTTGATGATTTAACTGCAAACTACACTTTGTTTTTTGTTTGTTACTTATTACACAGATATATTTGCACTACGACCAGATTTGATTTTGTTCATAAAGATACTCCAAAGATGATGAATAAGATAATAATGCTTGAAATGATGAGTGACAAAAAGATAATGAAACTTATTTACACTCATTTTATAATCATATTTGATCAAACACAGCTATGATAAATTAGGCCCAATAATAATATTATTCTATTATTTTCCAAACTGGCCAGTCAAATATCATAGTCAAATATATATCGGGCAGCGCTGTTCCAACAGCTGCCCTGCATTAGGCTGATAACTGGCCTCCACTCAGGGAATACTGGACCAGAAAGAAACTACAGAGATGAAACCACGGAATTTTTGGTACAGGTCAGTCTAAGTTTTCAGATATTGCTATTTATTACAGGTATACACTCATCATACATTTCATTAAAAACATTACTTTGCACTTCAACTGTAGGACTACAGTAGAAAGTAGTCCATCAGTAGAAATACACAGTTTATCAGCCACCATCTTCCCCATTCATCACTGGTCAGTTTATAACCACAGGAGCACCTCTGAACAGATATTATTTGAGAAGTGGGTCATTCTCAGCACAGCGGTGACACTCGTACGGCAGCGTGTGTCGCACTGAGAGAGTGTTTCAGGCACAGCGGTGTTGCTGGAGTTCTTATTTACATCAGTGTCACTGGGTTAAGAACAGCCTGCGATCCAAAGCTGTCCATCCAAGAGCAGTTCTAGAGTCAGAAACTGACCACTGATAAAGGGCTAGAGGATGACTAACACATATTGTGCACAGGAGAGAAGCCTGAGGGGTGGCACTGGCTACCCCTGAAATATGATTGGCCACCCTGGGCGCCCCCTCAAAACTTTCATGTAGCAGGCTAATTAAAGTGCTTCCTCCCACTCAACTGGGAGAAAGTGGCTCAGCTTATGACATAAATTGAAGTAAATTTTAAAAGGCTTTGCCAAATTTGTTGCAACATAATAACATTTCAGCTGAAGTCTTAGCTGCTTATTATTATGTGGGCAAACCAAATACATAGTTAACTTGCTGCTACGTTGCGAGTAAAGATTAACTGACATAATCTGAATCACTCAAGGTGCAGTAATTATGACACTGGAGATTTATTCAAAACTCAGGTGAAATTTTAAAGAGTTATTTATACTAAAGATATTTATACTACATGCAGATTTGAAGAAATGCAATAAAACCTGATCTTGTTTTCTGGGTCTTTTTTGATAATTACACATATTTTTGGGTTTATGGACTATGGACCTCCTACAGTTGCTACAGCCACCCCATTTATGCAGCCCAACAATCACCACTGATCAATACACCGTCATATGTGACGGGCAAGACAGGTGTTTCTAATAAAGTGGCCAGGTCTACTGATATAAGAGAATATAAAGACAATAAAAAGTCTTACCTTGGGGTTTTATACTGTTTCTTTTTGCTCAAGGTTTTAAAGCAGCAGAACTGTGAACAGCTGTTCTTGCAGTCAATGACCTGGTATATGATTGGATTGTACATGGCGGCTGATTTGGCCAGCAAGGTTGGTATGACTGAGACCGGAATAGGCACTGAATCGTGCTCCCCGAACGCAGAGACCACTGACACCACCGCGTATGGAATCCAAGCTATCAAAAATCCAGCACAGATCAACATCGCCACCTGCAGGACACAAGCAGAATGACACTCAGTGCACATTTCACTTTGATTTCAATTAGATAAATGAGTCAATATATCTACATTGTAATATACCTAAAACATACGAGATACACATATTCTAATTGGCTTTACCATAACCGTAAAATGTCTCTTAAAACATAATCAAATCTTTTAAGGTGCATTTTCAAATACATTTGAAGACATCATCTAAACACCTTCGTTAACTTCATCTCCAGACTGTGGTTGTTCTTATTCCGCGTGTCGAAGTAGGACACTTCCTTAGCGGACGCCTTCACCTTGATGATGATCTTGACGTAGGAGAAGACGATGATGCCCGTGGGCAGGATGAGGCAGAAGAAGAGGATGGACATGACAAAGCTTTGGCCAGCCACAGATGCCTGGGCCAGCCACCAGTTGAGAGTGCAGGAGGTGCCAAATGGTTCCGGAGCGTAGCTGCCCCAGCCCACCAGCGGCATGGTGGCCCAGAAGGCCGCATACAGCCAGATGAAGAGCAGGCTCAGCATGGCATGATTCCGCTTAATCCACGTACCTGTAAACCACAGGGAGGTGATATAAACACATTTTCTACATGTTGTGCACACACAGCATACACATAGCAGAAAACAGTAGAGGGTGAAGACTTACAGCAACTAAGAACATAGTTTACAGCTACTCATCTGTGAATTAAGTGTGGAGTTGCACTACATATCTTGCCATTAAATGTGTTTTTGCTTGTAAAATCTTTAAAACAAAATACAATAAATTATTATTTAAGTCTATAAGTGTTTATATCATTCAGATGTAAACAAAGTCATCAGTGGTTTGATGTTAAAGTCTCCGTAGAAGAAAAACTCACCCAATCAGAATTGTTCTTAACTGTTGTTGAAAATACACTGCCTTATGCCTGAGACATTCCTTTTCTGATAGTTTTAAGATTTAATATATGGCCTTAAATGTATGTTCTTCATTCATGCTGGCGAGGGGCATGCAGGTCGCACAGGCAAAATATCTTTTTTCAGGTTTACATTTAGGTGGTTGTGGTTGGTCTAGTGTAATGGGTAACACCTCTGCCTTCTATCCTGTGGACAGCGGTCCAATCCCCCGCCTGGGTAAGCACCCTACACTATACCAATAAGAGTCCTTGGGCAAGACTCCTAACATTACCTTCACCTACCTGAGTAAAATGATCAAACTGTAAGTCGCTCTGGATAAGAGCGTCAGCCGAATGCCATAAATGTAAGTTATTTTTACTTAGAAAATTAACAAAACCAGGGGTGTTCAAACTTTTGCATACAACTGTATATAAAGGTTTAAGTGTATTGTGTCACTTGCTGAGGTCAAATAACATCAAAACTGACAAAAGCAGCCATTATGACCTTTAACCTGTATAAATGCTTATGTAGGTTTAGGTCAGTTGTCATGAAAGGTTTATGTAGGAGTCATATAGCCCTATGAATGCTGTGTGTGAGTAAAGTACTACCAAAACAGGGTTAATATAACAAATGATTCCTACGAAGCCCCGCTGGTGACATCCTGTATAAATAAAAATAATGCGTGGCCACGCCTTATTAATGCATGGGAATGAGATCCTAATGCGTGGCCACGACTTAGTAAGGCATGGGAACGAGATCCTAATGCGTGGCCACGACTTAGTAAGGCATGGGAACGAGACCCTGATGCGTGGCCATGACTTAGTAAGCCATGATCTCATTCCCACACCTTATTAAGTCGTGGCCACGCATTAAGATCTTGTTCCCACGCATTAATAAGATGTCACCAGCAGGGCTCCGTAGATTCCAGACTTTTGAACCACAGTTTATGTCTCTGAACAGCAGCGATGAACATGCATTCACCTTCGACGGTACCCACCGTATCTTAAATGGCAGATTTTCAGGTATCGGTCAAAGCTGACCACAGTCATGGTGATGAGGCTGCCACAGCCGAAGAAGAAGCCGGCCCAGCCGTAGAAGCGGCAGCCCTCCCAGCCGAACAGCCAGCGGTGGGCAAAACTGGAAACCACAAAGAACGGCTTTCCTGTGACTGCGGGGACGAGAACAAGGCATGAGCAGCGTGACTCACGCATAAGGCATAACTGTCTAATGTGCAGGTGTGTCTGATTCCTGTTCTAGTGCAGGAAAAGCAATGAGAAACCAAGAAGAATGAGGAAAAGCTCTCTGATCCTGTGTGTGAACTGCTGCAGGAACACAGACGTTACAGTTAGCATTACACACTGTGGCACCATGTCAGTTACACATCCTCTACAGAAAATACTTTTTAATACACAATTACTGTGTATTAATGTGACCTGTGCAAAATTTATGGCACATTTTACATTTGTGTAATTTTTTCCAATATGTTAAACTCAAATAAATATAAATTGTGCATTAAATTTAGCAAAGAAATTGTATATTTCAGTGTGTTCTCTGTTTTAACTTATTTTCACTTAGAAAATTAACAAAACTTGTTTTGATCAGGGTCTTAAAACTCTTCCATGCAACTGTATGTTCTGTTCCTCACTCAACACATGGCTGTGGTGAGGAGGAATGAAAATAAAGCTGACTTTGACTTCAGATTTGGCACAGGGATCTCTGAGATACAGACAGGTAGAAATAAATTATTCTGTGTCAGACGGAGCAAGAGTTTCCATGTTGTGTCAGAACTGTTCCGATACATGTGTATGTTGCCATTTCTTTCAGAAAAGCAGGATGGATGATATAGGATGATGTTAATCATTTGAACATAAAAAATGAAAAAAAAAAACCATACATTTCTCAAATACAGGGGGTGCAAAAAATAACACACACAGCATTTCTATCAGCTACACATACCATATAGTTGTACTTTGTAGGCTTACAGTTACTGACTGTAGCCCGTCTGTTGCTGTATAATTCATCAGCTCTGCTCTACCCCATCCATAAATCAAAAGGACCACCATAGGACCACCGCTGACCCAATATTATTTGAGTGGTGGATCATTCTTAGCACAGCAGTGACACCAACATGGTAGTGTTTAGTGCTTAACCTTCTTATCGTCGCTGGGCTCATTTTGCCACGATTCACGTCTCTAAATATATTTAATATAAATATATACATGACATTCTTTTGCTGCTTCTCATATATATATATATATATATATATATATATTCTTAGTTAGTAAACTTGAGGATGACGGGAGAGTTAAGTGTACACAGTGTTTAAAAACTTGATCCTGATCGACTCAAACCAGCACCACCAGTGCCACACACACTAACATGCCATTTTGTCACTGGTCCACCATCAAATAATTTCTGGTCCAACGGGGGCTGATAAATTGTGCAGCAACAGAAGGACTACTGTCAGTAACAATGTCTACAATGCAAATATAGCCATTTCATTTACTATCCAAAACCACCAAAAGGCAAAATAGTGGTAAAACTAATAAATAAGCTTTGTTTGCCTTATGACGCCCTGCATGTAGTTTTCTGCCATGCATGTACTTTAAAAATATGTTTTAGTCAAAAACTCAGTCAGAAACTTTCACATCAACGCACTCTGAATGACTGTTTACATCTTAATGATTAAACTGTGCAGAAAAATTAAAATGAAATTTTCATGACATTTTCTCTCATATTTGTTTGGTAAACTAGTTTAAAGAGAAATTCTGCCGATTTTCAAAAACATCTGTATAATTCAAACACTGAGATATAAGCAAAGTTTTTCAGAGTGCTTTAATGTGAAATGATGAATCGTAGAGAGATTTAGTAAAGGTTTTATCTGACAATGACGAAACACCTTCACGAAGGAACGACTGCGCAGCCCCAGTGTCACGTAGTACGACAATGGGCTGGCCACGTTCATCCGTGTGAGACTCAGACACTGACCCAGTAAAGAACAAAACGTGGGGTCGTAACAGTTTCTATCAACACCACTGTGAACAACTCTGACGTGATGAGTTTCTGTAGAACTGAGCATTTCACAAAAAACACTCTGAACGACTTTTTTGGGTATCAACTGTCAGATTGATCCATATTTTCAGGGCCTGTGCTTTAGTGCTGCCTCTGCTCCTCTGCCGACTGTGTAAGTGCACAGCCGTCCACACGGTGGAGCAAGAGCACATTAATGAAAAGAGCAGAAGCTGGAGCCACTGCCCCACAGAGTGACCGATGAGAGAAAGGGACGAGACCCTCCACGTCTTTTTTCTTTATTCTCTGTTTATTCCTTGCAAAAGTGTCTACATTGATAAACCCATCAAAAGGACCATTCAGAGCTCTGTCCACAGTTTGAGGACATTATTCTGAAGGCTGCCTTTGTAAATCCTCTGATTTACCATTAACCCTATATTGCATGATGTTGCCTCAGGGCAACAAACATTCTCCTCACTTTACAATAACATTATACATATTTAAGGACACTGACAGGGTTAACAATAAAGGGCAGAGTTCGAGTAAGTCAGTAAAAAAGCACACATTTGGTCTCTTAGTGGGGACTTTCAAACCTCTTTTTAACATTCAGTATCATTTTTCAGTTATGTGAAATTGCAGAAATATGTTTGTTGCCTAGAAGAAACTCGTGCGACAGTGGAATGGATTCAGCCAGTCACAAGCCAGATCTGACCACTTCAGGGAACACGGATCTATATGACTTCGTCCCATTGTCGCACAATGTTGCCACAAGGCAACATACCCCAAAAAGGACCCCTGCACACATTATTATTTAAAAAAATGATTTGGATTAAATAATCAGGTCAATTTTATGCAAGAAAAGTCAATCGGATATATTTTTTTAAATTGCTCTCATAATGTGTGCAGTAGAGGGTTAAAGGAATGGTGTTTTTTAACCTAATCTCTGTCTGTGGCAGCTGTAGTGTTTGGTCACAGCAGACAGAGATGGGACACAGATAACTCGGCACTTTCTCTGTACAGACAAATCAGACACAAAGCACTAGTAGAGCCACATTTAGAATCTGCCATCAAAAACTCTGAACACAATGATTTTTATTCAATATTTCAATATTTAGTGCTGCAACTAAATATGCAGTTAGTCAGTGTTCTTTAGGTACTGATGATATCCACAATTCACAATCACAATTATTATAAAACATATTGCCATTTCTACTTATAATAGCAGGTAATGGGCAGTTCATTCTATTATAAGTCTATTTTGGGTCAACAGCTGTCATGCTAGTCTGTTCTTTCCGAGGAAAGATGCATATATTCATTGACACTGTGTCTGTATACAGTGCCATGATAAAGTTCACCCTTCATTTGTTTCATTTCCAGTCAAAACAGTCATTAAGAAAAAGTTATTCCGTATTTTCAGAATCAGAACAAACATTACATAGAAGTCTCAACAACTAAATATAATATCAACTTTTGCATTTATATCCACTCTTTATCTTTATTACAGCCTCCATCTTGTTCAGGAGACTTTTTTTCAGAGAAACCTGCATCTGTTATTTTTCCACACCTCCAAAGTTCTTACACTCCAAGTAATCCCAAACATATTCAGTGATGTTGAGGTCTGGACTCTGGGGTGGACAGTCCATTGTTCTGAGAACACAAACAGCTTCTTTGCCTGATTTGCAATTTTTGATTTTTTTGCTTTTCTCTTGATGTTTCTCAGTAATGGTTTCTTGACAGCTTCACATCCTTTCAGATTCAAAGTGTCTTCTCACAGTGGAAGGATGGACAGAAACGCAAATAGGTCCAATCAGCAGGTTTTAGCCACTTGTGTGGTGTTCAGGTCTGTGGGACCCATTTTCAATGTTTACCAAAAGAAAAAATGATGTGATTTATTATCATTTAAACCTCAGATTCTTGGTCTTTGCTCATTTTCTGTGAAGAACATAGAAAATAACCCATTTTCAGTGTCTTCACTCTGTTCACCCCCCACACATTTATATTACACATGTGGTGTTGGGTGAACCTGCGGGGAGTAAAAGTGTGGAGGTGCTGTGTCCTTCACTCTGTTCTCCTACATGGCCTGCTGTGAGTGTGTGTGTGTGTGTGTGTGTGTGTGTGTGTGTGTGTGTGAAGGTGGACAACATGAACAGGCTGCTGACTGGCTACAGCTGCTAAAGGAGAACGCTACGCTGGACACTTGTGATATTTTAAACATTATTATTATTAGGTATTTTTACATACCTGTACTGATTTAAAAAAACAATAATGTGGTGGGTCCACCAGACCACTGAGTAACAACAACATCAACACCACACAAGGGTTAAATTATGTTTTATCATGTTTCTATCTTATATTTTTCATTCAAGCTTTGCTGGATGTTTAGTATAACTCTCAGGTTTAGTATTTTATACTAACATTTTTACTATTTCACTCTGTGTTTTCTGGGGCTTTAAGGATATTTTTCTAAAACTGCTTAAGAGACAGTTAGCGTAAGACAAAAAGGAGACATGAGACACTTTAGACCCAAATAAAAATGATAGTAGTTACTTACAGCATCAAAAAAGAAGGCTCTTTGTTTTGGATGAGAAAGGGTTAAGTTCCTGCTTTTAGTTCTGTTGCAGATAAACATAATGCTGTTGTAGGAATTTTGCAAAATCAGTGGAGTTCCCCTTTAAGAGCCAGTAGTGACACATTGGTGCAGAACGCGATTGACAGAAGTAAAAACACCTTGTCTTGCCTAACAGTGGACACCAATACTTGCCAAATGGGAGGTGTTTTTTTCTATTCTTGCATAAACTGGTATATAATAGGATCTTTGAGTATCACTGCTGTTGGAAGAAAACCTCGTATCTCCAAAATGACAACTTTACAGGAAAAGTAAAAACCTGCTTTACTTTTAATGGAAGTCAATGGAACCAGACTTTTTATAAGTCATTTTGGGCCGTTTCTTTTGGTCCAATCATCATGAAATTTACACACAATAGAAAGAGCAACAGTATTCAGGTTAAGCCAAAAACTGAAAAACAACAAAAATGGAGATATGAGGTTTTATGAGGACAGCAGCGATAAGCATTTTTATCTTGGCCGTTACTAAGTCAGGAGATCTGACTTTTCAGATCTGAAGAAACAGTGGAGCCTGATTTTCTCCTCTCTCTCGATTATTAAAGCTGTATGCACTGTTCATCTGATGATGACAGTAAGTGTGTTTGCATGCACTCAATCCAATCATAATCAGATTTCTGCTGCTATCCGATTATTTAAATGGTCACGTAAACACCATACTCTGATCTAGAAATCTGATTAAGAAATCCGATAAAGAGGCTGGATTTTACCTCAGTAATCAGATTTCTCAGTGCATGTAAACTCTTACTCTGATTTCTTTTGGATTTCTCAGTCTGCGCATGCACGAGATCAGACAGAGGTACCGGAAATAAGCGAGCAGCGTCGCTGCGAGACGCAGCAAAACACTTTTGGAGCGGCGCTGAAACCAAACACAAAATAAAGGATGTAAATATTCTTGATCTTCTAGATGATATATGTTCATATTTCCAGCTAAAGTGGTGCGATGTTTAAAAAAAAGGCTGCAGCATGAAGTTTTACGTTACGTTTACGTCTCATCTTCTTCTGTGAGTTTATTGGCTGGTTGTAAAGCAGAAATCTGATTACTGTCTGACTCGTGTAGACCTGGAGTTTCCTCATTATCAGACAACTCAAGTGCGTGTAAACGCGTTGATCGGATTACTGACAAAATCCGATTTTCTGCAGTTATGTGATTATTAAGTGCATGTAAACGCGCTCACTCTTGGTGCTCTACCAGCTCTTGCATGGTTGTTAAAAGTCCCATTTTCTCTACATCTTTTAATCATTCTTTGAACTCATTCTATGTTTTTTCACTTATTATTTTTTTTGACCTCCCTTTTTATTCAAGTGGATTATATTTTATCTAATCTCCTCAGAAATACCTCCTAAAAAACAAGTAACTTTCACTTAATGGCCATTTTGACTGGTAATTAAATCAGCTATGGGTGGTCCCTGATTATTGCACAGTACTGTATTTCATCTACCAAACAAGTATCGCAATATAAAAAAGCCTTACCTGAGATGCCAAAGTCGAATATGGCTAAATTCAGTGTCATTAATTCAGGTGGCTTTAACTTCGTCTTCCGTTTGATGGTCATGTAGATGACATAGCCGTTGCCTACAGCTGACATGATCCCTGTGAAAGAGAGAAGTGCAGAAGGTCAAAACACTACTCAGGCGTTTTTACACAATTACAGTACGTCAATCAATGAAAAGTCAGTTTTGCTTTACTGTATTTGTTACAACACAGGAAAACTTTGTAAGGTCCTTCAGATCTGAACAGTTCTTTAATGAATGTAAGGATTAAGGAAAAAAAGCAGATCCTGCATAACACACATTCTGAACTATTAGTTATGTAGTTATTCCCATAAAAACATCTGAATCATCTGAACTGGCTTTTCTGAATGCTTGGCTGCTGCACAAATGCTCTGTACATAGCTGACATTTTAATTTGAAGCGCCCATATCTTGCATTTTTCTCTGTTTTATTTTTATTTTACATGTATGTAATTGGGTGCTCTGCATTATGCCTTATTCAAAAGGCAGTCTGGGCTGAAACACTCAGGCGGAGCTAAACTGCTTTAAGCTGAATAAGCAGATATACAACATCACAAATACAAATGACTGAAAATGGGCTACTTTCGCAGGTTAGTGTTCGTAGAGACTGTATGGTCTGGAGAGAGGATGGTGTTTTCATGATCTTCTTTCAAGAAAAAGCCAGAAAAAACTGGTCAATGTGCCCTTCAAACTGATTCATTAGGCCCCATTTGTGACTCAACATTCACAGCACCTTGGTAACCTGCTTTGTTCACCTTTTCTATGTATTATTATGTTTATTTTAGAAATGTGGAGTAAGCAATCATGTTAAACAAGTGTGTGTGGCCCAGCCAGTAATACAAAGACGCAAAAGCAGTAAATTTCATCATATTCAGCTGAGCACAGTTCGTGTAAACACTAGTGGCTTTGAGTAAATGTGCTGGAGTCTGAATTTTGGCTCATACAAGACGTTACAGTAATGAAAGTGCAGCCTGCTAATTGCCCTGGCTCCATTCACTGAGTACCCGCCAGTATAATACATCCAACCTGCTCTTCACAGTAATTGCACATCTCCTGATATTTCAGCCTGGACTGCCCATTTTAAATCACTGACTGTCTATCATCCTGCACTCAGTCCACTTCAAAAAGAGCTGTGAAATATGGAACAGTGGAAATCGGCCGCACCTGACGCACGCTGAGCCCACGGACAATCGTTTTGACATATTTCTGTAGTAACTATAAGAACTTAACGGTTTTACTTTCACACGACCATTTATCATCCCCTCTTTACCCCTTAGAATTATACAGGCTGGTTTCGTTACCCTGCCTTTGAGACTGATATATGTAAATGAGCTCTGTTCTGATTGGCTGCCTTGCATTGTGCTTCATTCTAAAAGCAACCTGGGCTGAAACATTCCTTATATAACTAGATATATAAAAGCACCGTTTTCACGAAAATAATATTTTTTTTGCAGCTTAGTTTCCCTAAATACACTTCACAGACTGGGGAGTGAATGGTACATATTGAAATGTTAACAGTGTTTACATGCTACATCAAACTCTTTTATTAAAAAACCAAAAAAACTGTTTTCCACAGTTTGAGCTCTTTAAGTCAATTACTTTTCAGTTCGTTTACGGAGGTGGTTTACGGTCATCAACAAAACTAGGCCTGTTCCCATTAAGATATTTTAGGTAATGACTAGTTGTCATATAAATAATTGTGATTAATGAAGAAAAAGGGGCGGCACAGTGGTGCAGTGGGAGCAGCAAGAATGGCCTGGGTTCGATTCCCGGCCGGGTGACCAGGGTCCTTTCTGTGAGTTTGCATGTTCTCCCTGTGTCTGGGTGGGTTTCCTCCCACAGTCCAGATGTGCACTAAATTGCCCGTGTGTGTGAATATGTATGTATGTCTGTCTGTCTGCCCTGCGATGGACTGGCGACCTGTCCAGGGTGTATCCTGCCTTCTGCCCAATGACAGCTGGGGTAGGCTCCAGCACCCCACCACGACCCAGAAGGATAAGCGGTTTAGATGATGTGTAATCAAATTTTATTCTGTTTTATACATTTTGCAACTATTAAAATACAGGCCTAAAGAGGCCAAATTGGCTAATAAGCTATCTTCCTTCCCAGCTGCCGCTCAAGCTTAAATAAACAAACATTATTATCTGCTGCCTTATGAAGGTGTTATTACCAAACGTCAAATACACAAACATTACTCACTGCTGCCCTCTAAAGGTGTGATTACCAAACGTCAAATAAACCAACGTTACTCACTGCTGCCCTCTAAAGGTGTTATTAACAAACATCAAATAAACAAACATCACTCACTGCTGCCTTATGAAGGTGTTATTAACAAACATCAAATAAACAAACGTTACTCACTGCTGCCCTCTAAAGGTGTTACAGAGCAGAAGTTAGAACATTTCTATTTTACGTAAGACCCATGATGTCTCAATAAATGTATGTCCTGCTTTTTTATCTACATGCATTGGTCTTAACCCAAGTGATGAAAACTATCCAGTGAAAACGTATCCAATTCCCTTGTTGTTTGTTGTGATATAAACATAAGACTGTGAAAGTAAACAGCCATGGAAAATAACTGCAGTCAGCTCAGATAATTGCGATCAGGGGGTTATATAATAATAGTAACAGGCCTGGCTATAAATGCAGCAGATTCGGTTGAAAAACTCTGGCGTGCTCCTTTAGAGTGTTGAGAGTGAGGAAATTGACCTGAGGGTCAGTTATCTGTGATATATTTAGAGAATTTGGGTTCACCCCTTTAACCCATTGCAATCTGACCCTACAGTAGTTACCTATTTCAGGCTTTACAGCACATATTTTAGCATGTTTTCCCACCTGACTCAGTAAAGCTGCTTCTTTAAGTCATAACAAAAAATCATAGTGCAGTTTTATGTTTCAATGCAGGTTAATGTCACAGTATTTTATTCTATGGCATTTTGGACCATTTCTTTTGGTCCAGTTGTCGGCATTTTGAAACAATATAAACGGCAGCTGATGTTTTTAAATAATATAAAAAAGACAAAATGTGGGTAAAAGGTTTTCTTCCCACAGTAATGATGTTGAGCTTAGCAAAATGGAAATAGAGCTTTCAGTGTACAGCCATGTTTTCTATAACTATATACACCAATCAGGCATAACATTATGACCACCTCCCTGTTTCTACGCTCATTGTCCATTTTATCAGCTCCACTTACTATATAGGTGCACTTTGTAGTTCTACAGTTACAGACTGTAGTCCATCTGTTTCTCTGATACTTTGTTAGCCCCCTTTTACCCTGTTCTTCAGTGGTCAGGACCCCCATGGACCCTCACAGCGCAGGTACTGTTTGGGAGGTGGATCATTCTCAGCACTGCAGTAACACTGACGTGGTGGTGGTGTGGTAGTGTGTGCTGCGCTGGTACGAGTGGATCAGACACAGCAGTGCTGCTGGAGTTTTTAAACACTGTGTCCACTCACTGTCCACTCTATTAGACACTCCTACCTTGTCAGTCCACCTTGTAGATGTAAAGTCAGAGACAATAGCTCATCTGCTGCTGCACAGTTTGTGTTGGTCATCTTCTAGTCCTTCATCAGTGGTCACAGGGCGCTGTTGGCTAGATATTTTTGGTTGGTGGACTATTCTCAGTCCAGCAGTGATACTGAGGTGTTTAACAAACAAGTAAAATTGTTTGGCTTTGGTACATCATGTGCATGTATATCTGAATTAAGCTACTGAGCTAACACTAACGCTACAACTAACCAGTGACACAGTAGATGGTGATGACTTGTCTTCTACACAAAGCTGAAGTTCCAGCCTGTTAGTTTGAATAGTTGGAACAGTAGAAGTAGTTTTTTTATTATTTTAGTTCTAGCTAATGCTAGCATAGCTAACATAGTTAGCCTAGTAACAGTCGCACTAACTCTGACTTCTTAGCCACACTCTTAATGCCTTTAATTATAATTTTTAATCATTTTTCAATTATATGTAAAATGATTAAGTAGTTTCTTTTCTGCCTCAGCATTAACGGGTTAAAAGTCTTGATCTATTGAGCCAATTTAAGTGAACGTTTAGACGTTTAATCTCTTTATATCATCGTTCACTGCTGCATGTTTACCCAAGACGTTTCAGACCTTTAGCGTCCTTCTGACCTGCATCAGCTGACCGACTCAAAAATCACTCAAACATCAGTTCATTTGCTATGAGTAACAGATCACCAAGAAGAGAACTGAATAAACTCTTTCACTTGAATCCGGTCATATGACACCCATGGATCAGGCACACTGAAAGAATTAAGTATAGCACTGTTTTGGGACTGTTTTTGTCCCATTTTTTATTTATTTCTTTTTTTATGAGCTATGCGCTGGTTTCCTGGACATAGTTTAAGGGCAAAACTGCAGTGTCAATGGAGAATCGCTATTGGAAATGCATTTTAGAGTAGGCTTAGGCTTCACCTGGGTCTGAGAAACATGTCTTAAGCTGGTTTATGGTCTTAAAAACATAACCTGCAATATGTAGAGGTTGGTCTAGTGTAGTGGGTAACACCTCTGCCTTCTATGCTGTAGACTGGGGTTCAGTCCCTGCCTGGGTAAGAACTCTACACTATACCAATAAGAGTCCTTGGGCAAGACTCCTAACACTGCCTTTGCCTGTCTGGGTAAAATGACCAAAATTGTAAGCCACTCTGGATAAGAGCATCACCTAAATGCCATGTAGAATAAGTAAATACTTTCATTTTCAGAGATATATGTGTTTCTGGGAAAATATTTAGCAGTCCCTCCAGGAATTTGTGATTGCAAATTTAACCAACCTTCACAATATTTGCAAGGTCTTGCAATTTTTTCTCAATTATTGCTTGTTTCTGCATGAAATGTTTAAATCATGTAACTGCTCTCACACTTATATTAAATTTTGAGCCCAATAATCAGGAAATTTAACACACACAAATCAGTAATCTGTTATCTTTCATTTTTCTATGTCTGAAAGTGTTTTTGAACGCGAGCAACTGACCTGAAGTGAGCTTTTGTGCTACATGCCAGGGCACCATTTATGATGCAGAGAGGATCACACCTGCCTGCAAATGTTTCTGCTAAAAACAGGGC